ATGCAAAAAAGCAAATCAGAGTTATTGGACTTGTGCCAATCATGTTAGATAATCACAGAGAACAAATGACCACTGTAAAGTTTCAAGCCATTCCCTTCAGTAGTTATGGAGATACCAGCTTGCACGCAAAAACTTAACCAAGAATTTCTAAATCGAAAAAGGGGCATAATTATGCAAAAAAGCAAACCAGAGTTATGGGACTTATTCCAATCATGTTAGATAATCACAGAAAACAAGCGTGTGAAGTTTCATCCATTCCCTTCAGTAATTATGGAGATACCAGCTTGCACGCAAAAACTTAACCAAGAATTTCTAAGTCGACAAAGGGGCATAATTATGTAAAAAAGCAAATCAGAGTTATTGGACTTATGCCAATCATGTTAGATAATCACAGAGAACAAGTGTGTGAAGTTTCAATCCATTCCCTTCAGTAGTTATGGAGAATTACCAGCTTGCACGCAAAAACTTAACCGAGAATTTCGAAGTCGAAAAAGGGGCATCATTATGTAAAAAAGCAAATCAGAGTTTTTAGACTTGTGCCAATCATGATAGATAATCACAGAGAACAAGTGTGTGAAGTTTCAATCAATACCTTTCAGTGGTTATGGAGATACCAGCTTGCACGCAAAAACTTAACCACAGGGACGCTGACGCCGACAAATGGGTAACTGCATAAGCTCGATTATTCTGCGAATAGTCAAGCTTAAAACAAGTTAATGAAAGATAAGATAATTGAAAGGTCAACTAGTGTTTGATCCCAAAATCAATAAGGGTCATCTAATTGTCAATTAAAATGCACCTACGAAGTTTGGGAACCAACAGCTCATGGGTTGTCAAGTTAATGATCGTCAACCATTTTTACCAACAAGATGAATATAACCTTGACCTTTTGACATCTTGACCCCAAAATCAATAGGGGTCATCTGCTGGTCATGAGCAATCATCATACCAAGTTTGAAGTTCCTAGGCCTAAACGTTCTTTAGTTATTGATCTGAAACTGTTTTTATCTACAAGGTCAATGTGACCATGACCTTTGACCCTAAAATCAAAAGGGGTCATCTGCTGGTCATGAACAATCATTATACCATGATTGAAGTTCCTAGGCCTAAGCATTCTTTAGTTATTGATCGGAAACCGTTTTTATCTACAAGGTCAATGTGACCTTGACCTTTGACACCTTGACCCCAAAATCAATAGGGGTCATCTGCTGGTCATGACAAATCATCATACCTAGTTTGAAGTTCTTAGGCCTAAGCCTTCTTTAGTTATTGATCGGGAACCGTTTTTACCTACAAGGTCAATGTGACCTTGACCTTTGACCCCAAAATCAATAGGGGTCATCTGCTGGTCATGACCAATCATCATACCAAGTTTGAAGTTCCTAGGCCTAAGCGTTCTTTAGTTATTGATCAGAAACCGTTTTTACCTACAAGGTCAATGTGACCTTGACCCCAAAATCAATAGGGGTCATCTACTGGTCATGACCAATCACCATACCAAGTTTGAAGTTCCTAGGCCTAAGCCTTCTTTAGTTATTGATCGGAAACCGTTTTTACCTACAAGGTCAATGTGACCTTGACCCTTGACCCCAAAATCAATAGGGGTCATCTGCTGGTCATGACCAATCATCATACCATGATTGAAGTTCCTAGGCCTTAGCATTCTTTAGTTATTGATTACCTACAAGGTCAATGTGACCTTGACCTTTGACCCTTGACCCCAAATCAATAGGGGTCATCTGCTGGTCATGACCAATCATCATACTTAGTTTCAAGTTCCTAGGCCTTAGCATTCTTTAGTTATTGATCGGAAACTGTTTATACCTACAAGGTCAATGTGACCTTGACCTTTGACCCCATGACCCCAAAATCAATAGGGGTCATCTGCTGGTCATGACCAATCATCATACCTAGTTTGAAGTTCCTAGGCCTAAGCCTTTTTTAGTTATTAATCCGAAACCGTTTTTACTTACAAGGTCAATGTGACTTTGACACCTTGACCCCAAAATCAAAAGGTGTCATCAATTGGTCATGACCAATCATCATACCAAGTTTGAAGTTCCTAGGCCTAAGTATTCTTTAGTTATCACTCGGAAACCATTTGGTCTACGGACTGACAGACAGACAAATGCAAAGCAAATTATACCCCCTCTTCTTTGAAGTCGGGGCATAATAAGGATTTTTTCTTATCAACGGATGCCAATGGACAAGCTTTAGGATATGTTTTCCCTTGCAGAAATATATACTGGTATTTAAAAAATCCCAGTATTTCCCAGTAGTTATCCTAGAAAATTCCAGTATATTAAAGCCAGTCTTGGCTATTCTAGTATTTCCTAGGAATTACCAGTTACTGAGAACTAGGCATTTCTCATAATTTTCCCACAACTCATCAATTTCTAAGTAATACTAGGAATTGTAATTTATTTTCTGAGATTTCTAAGACTTAAGATTTTGCAAAATTCCTAGTCTTTAGGAATAACTTGGAATTTATCTTCTGGAACAAAATCATTAACATTTGTGCTAAATTTCTTGAATCTTACCTAAATGTTCATGACCATTGAGTCACAGACACTTGGGGTGAGGAGTTCAAAACGCCTTTAAAATCCAAATAAAATGTATATTCGTCAATCCCAGCACATTGTTTTTCAAAATGGCTTATATTAAGCTTTTTATATATAATATGATCAGTACATGTGCTGGGATCAACAAATATACATTTTATTTGGATTTTAAAAACGTTGATCTCCTCACCCCAAGTGTCTGTGCATTGAGTAGCGTAAATTTTTTTTATCATAGGCAATTTTAGCGAGCCAGATTATCACAGGCCCAAAACATTTTTTGCTCAGTTTTTTTTATTGCTTGATTGCTTGATCAAAATCACGGAAAATCAATCAGCCACTTCTTAAATAAAATTATCTTTTTTTTAACTGAACCTTACTCATCTATCTACTGCAGTACAGTTTTCTTATATGAAAACAACTTCACATGCTGTGCAATATTCCTGTAAAGTTTCATTACCCTAGGTCAAATACTTTTTAAAGCTACGTGCGACACAAGTTGAAAATTGCAAATTTTTTAATAAGTCAAGGGCAATAACTCTGACAAAACAGAATAAATCCACAAGCCAAACTCCATGTGCACAACTTCACATGCTGAGCAATATTCCTGTAAAGTTTCATTACCCTAGGTCAAATACTTTTTTGAGCTACGTGCGACACAAGTTGAAAATTGCAAATTTTTACTAAGTCAAGGGCAACAACTTTGACAAAACAAAATAAAGCCACAAGGGAAACCCCAGGACTATCCTAAAAGATGTTCAAGTTTGAAGACAATCCATTCAAAAACAACTTATAGCAAAAATCAGGGAAAAAACAAGCAAAAAAATATTTGACTTGAATGAAGGACAAGGTTAGTCCAAAGGGTTGTTGTGGCGAAGTATGAAAACAATACACCAAGAACTTAAAAAGTTATGATCAAGGTACAAGTTTGCAGACGGAAACGGCAATGCTGAGGTGACTGAAACAATACCTCTATTTCTTTTCTTTTTTTAAAGTTGAGCTAAAAAGAGTATTGTAAAAACTGTTCTAAATTGCTAAACCTATTTCCAGACAATGATAAATTTGTTTCATTTTACTTACACTGTTAGTTTCGTGATTTCAGACAGATGACATTAAAATAAAATATCTTGTAATGTTTTAAAATCCAATTTTGGTTTAAAAAAACCAACAAGATATATAAGGGAGAACACCCACTGATGTACAAATATATTATTTCTATCAGGAGTTTGTGTTATTCTAAATAAAGTTAGTTGTAATTTTCTCAGTATAATCTCATAATAAATAATTTTGTATTAAATATTACATGTCATTGTAACCTCTTCAATCATGATATAATCATTAAGAAAATAATTAACAAAAACTTTCACATTAAGTTAAACTTTCTGCCTTAAAATATAGCTATGCAGAAGCAATGCTCAACTTTTTCTACTTTTTCTAAAAGCATCAAATAAATGGTTTGACATATCAATAAAAGGAAAATTAAAGAATTTCAAATTGCTTGTAATAGTTGTTGCCCAAGTATGAATCCTTTCCATAATAATAACTAGAAAGGCTTTTTGTCACAAAAACATATATCTCCCAAAACTAGGTATGGTACTGATCACTCCTATGAAGTGATGTCCAAATTTGGCCAGCAGTTTGACCTGTGAAAGCTAGACAAAGATTTTTTAATTTTTAGCTCTGGTGGCCATTTTGTGCAGCGAAGGGGAAAGTCCAAGCGATATGCACCAATAGGAATAAAACTGATCACTCTTGTAAAGTTTGATTAAAAATCTCACCAACAGTTTGACTTGATATTTAAAGCTCTGGCAGCCATTTTGTGAAGAGGAGCAGAACTTTCTGGTGCTATGCAAATCTAGGAATGGTACTGATCATTTCTGTGAAGTTTTATTGTAATCCCGCCAGGAGTTCAACCTGTGAAAGCCTTTTGAAAGATTTTTGTATTGTTAGCGTGACCTAGAAATCATCATAAACACCTTTCTGATCAAAGTCTAGGATATTTGGACTGGAACAGTGGCCAGTTTAAGTTGTTGAAAAGGTTTTTCTATATTTGGGCTGTGCGACCTAGTTTTTGACCCCAGGTGACCCATATTCAAATCTTGACCTAGAAATCATCAAAACAACCTTTCTGATCAATTTCTAGGATATTTGGGCTAAAATAAATATCTATATTTTAGTAAATAAAGAAAGGATATTATTTCTAAAAAAATATTGAAATATTGTTTGCATTTCTTTTGATGAACAGGTAACAAGCAAAATAAGCTTGAAAATGACTTCATAATCCTTTTTAATACAAGTAAACCTTTCTACAACAAAACATCTTTAATATGCTGGAATGTAAGAGAAAGGTTCTATTGCATTTGACACACAACTAATAAATTTGATATTGACACTATTAACGAGAAATATCTGGTGAAAAATATGTCATATTATAACAACTACCCCTAGATTCTCCATCGTCCCAGTACATCTCACCATTAGCTGTACCACTGGCATCCAGAGCTGCATACACAATAAACTTGTTCTTTCTCCTGAAACAGAAATACTCATTAAACACATGATCTGAAATGTTCGCTATTCAGAACATACATATTTAAACATTTCCTTAAAATAGATGAATGGTTTTGACCAGATTTAATCTGGTGGACAAGTCAATTTACAACAATAAGCTTGGTATATGAAAATGAAGAAAGGCTCTAAGCCATCAGTATAGAGCCAGGTATACTTAGAGCATTCCAGGATAAGCAAATAACACAAAATGAAATTAATAAATGTATTTCATTCCTGTCAACTAGAAGTTTTGTAACAATGTGGCTGAAATTGTCATTTGAGAAATACAACCAAGATGCATAAAACAAGCAATTATTATAGTATTGCAAGCAATCCATAAGTCCCCTACCGGTTAGAACCCCAGCAACATTCTGATGGGCCATTGGCTATTAAATTATACCATTGAATGAATGAATGACATGAATGAACTTAAATCTTTTGAGTTCTAAGTTTGTCTGTATCATAGTAATGTGTTAAGTTTCCCTGCCTAGTAAGGAAATTATGTTTATACACAGATAATCAAAAGGTCCAATTTTCTCAGGATGAATAAGTATAACTAATGTTCAACTTTTTAAAATCTTTAAAAGTGACCTCAGGAACAGTTTTTATGAACAGTAACAGACAAACAGACTGAAGGAGACTTTAAAGTTATTTTTTTAACATCCCTGTTACCAAAATATAACATTTTTTAAAGCAAAATTATTAAAGAGGAGATAACTCTTGAAATAAAGATGCTTAGATTTATGAACATTGTCATACATGTTATGAGTGAAACAATTTGTTTCAAAAATCTATTTTTAGCCCTCCTGACCCAGACTTTCAACTGAGCAGAACAATTTGAACAATTTTAGTAGAGCTTCATGGTAGAAATATCCCAAGCAAATTTAATCACATTTGGTCTAGTGGTTTCTGAGAAGAAGTGGTTTTTATAATAAGTTGACAACGGTCGCACGGATGCACTGACGGACGATGGACGCTATACAAATTGTGATCACAAAAGCTTACCTTGAGCATTTTGTGCTCAGGAGAGTTAAAAACAAAAGTAACATGCTTAATATGCATGTATATTCTCAGTATAATACTTACGCCATAGTAGTAGTGACATTTGGCTTTTGTAGAGGAATAATGGACCCTCCACGCAATTGAAGGTTAATGTGTTCCATTGGAAGGTCAAACATTATATAATGACCTGGTGAGTCAATAAATGAATGATTAAACCAGTCAAACCAACGATCTTTTGGTAGGTAGCCTCGACCTTTATAAGTATTCTAGAAAAAGGAAAGGCCAGATATTATTGTCCTGTATATAAGAATCAGTGATGAAACATGTACTCTCAGTGCCTGAAAGAGCAGATGGACCATTACATATATATATGTATACAAGAGCACCGCTATAGAGCATTATATTTTTTTAGTAAGGATGAAGCATTTGTAAGACATGGGAATTAAATAAAGTATTACCTCCTTCAAAAGGCAATTCTCCTTTATAGCTGAAGAACCTTCATATATATACAGTTGCTGTTTCCAAAGCACCACCATCAAGTTGTTATATTTTAAGTAAAATGCTACGACGGATGGACAGAAAGACGCCAGGGGTATAACATAATATAAGCAAATTTCTTAGGGCATATAATTAATGTACTCAATATAAGTGATCATCCTATGAAGTTTGACAGTTGTAAAACTGTTAACAATATTAAGATCATTTGATATTGACCTTTGACTTTGTGATCCCAATATATATATGGATCTTCTATTCAATATATATAGGCAATCATTCTATGAAGTTTGAACACTGTAAGCCAAATGGAACTTGTTTTATGCTCCAGAAAGCAACATTTTCAGTGTTAAGATCATTGTGACCCTGACCTTTGACCTTATGATCCTAAAATCAGTAGGGATCATGTATTGGACTTAGCTGTTCATCCTATAAAATTTTACAGCTGTAGGTTGATTAATACTTAAGTTATTGAGCGGAAACTGTTTCTGTTTTAAGGGAATGGTGACCTTGACCTTTGATCTTGTGACCCCAAAATCAATAGGGGTCTTCTACCCAATATTGATAATCATCCTATGAAGTTTGAACACTGTGGGCCAAATGGAACTTGAGTTATGCTCCGGAAACTGTTTTCAGTTTTAAGGTAATAGTGACCTTGACCTTTGTCCTTGTAACCCCAAAATCAATAGGGGTCCACTACCCAATATGGACAATCATCCTATGAACTTTGAATATTGTCAGCCAAATGGAACTTAAGTTATGTTTCTGAAACTGTTTTCAGTTTTAAGGTAATAGTGACCTTGACCTTTGACAGGAACCTTTGACCCCAGGGAAGGGCCTACGATAATGTTGTAAAAACTTTTGGCCCAACCCTTTTGTATATTGTGTTATTTTGTTAATGTAAATGAATTGATGTTTATTTATATATGCAATAAAATAGTATTAAACTTGACCTTTGACCTTCTGATCCCAAAATCAATAGGGGTCTTCTACCCAATATGGACAATCATCCTATGAAGTCTGAATATTGTGGGCCAAATGGAACTTAAGTTATGCTCTGGAAACTGTTTTCTTCAGTTTTAAGGCAATAGTGACCTTGAGCTTTGACATTTTGATCCCAAAATCGATAGGGATCTTCTACCCAATATGGACAAAATCCTATGAAGTTTAAATATTGTGGGCCAAATGAAACTTTAGTTATGCTCCAGAAATTGTTTTCAGTTTTAAGGTAATAGTGACCTTGACCTTGTGATCAGGAAATCAGTAGGAGTCTTTTACCCAATATGGACAATCATCCTATGAAGTTTGAATAATGTGGGCCAACTGGAACTTAAGTTATGCTTCGGAAAATGTTTTCTGTTTTAAGGTAATAGTGACCTTGACCCTTGACCTTCTGACCCAACTAGAAATGCCACTGTCATGGCATAAATACCCCCGCATACCACTTTGTCAGAATCAACTGTGGCCATTTAGAGCTCAAGGACAAACTACCTGCCAAATCTGAGGTTACTAAGCTAGTGCATTGCTAAGTTATGTATTCTACATGCTTCAAATGTGAAAATGTCAAAATCAATACAATGCGGACAGGCATTCTTAAGCATTTGAGCAGACAAGCATATTATAGTAAAATCCCTGTGACCTTGTCATAAACAACCTCAATACCAAATATGTCTTCAAGACTGTTGACCAAAGCATTCTTAAGCAATTGAGCAAACATGCTTTTTTAGTCAAGGCTCCTGTAACCTTGACCTTTAACCCAGTGACTTCAAAATCAAAAGGGGTCACCTAATGGTCATGATCAACCTCTATGCCAATTATTAACACTTTGGATCAAAGGTTTCTTAAATGATTGGGCAGACAAACTTTTTGAAGTCAAAATCCCTGTGACCTTGACCTTTGACCTAGTGACCTCAAAATCAATAGGGGTCATCTACTAATCATACCTAACCTCCATGCCAAATATAAAGACTGTGGATCAAATGTTTCTTAAATAATTGGACGGACAAACTTTTTGAAGTCAAAGTCCCTGTGACCTTGACCTTTGACCCAGAGACCTCAAAATCAATAGGGGTCACTTACTTATCATGACTAACCTCCATGCCAAACATGAAGACTTCTGGTCAAAGGAATCTAAGTTATTGGGCAGACAAGTTTTTTAAGTCAAGGCCCTTGTGACCTTGACCTTTGACCAAGTGACCTCAAAATCAATAGGGAATATCAACTAACCATGACCAATCTAAATACCAAATATCAAGACTGTAAGTCAAAGGAATCTTAAGTTATTGGGTGGACAAGCTTTTTCAAGTCAAAGCCGCTGTGACCTTTACCTTTGACCTCAAAATCAAAAGGGGTCATCTATTAATCATGGCTAACCTCCATGCCATATATAAAGACTGTGGGTCAAAGGAATCTTAAGTTATTTGGGGGACAAGCTTTTTGAAGTGAAGGCCCCTGTGACCTTTGACCCAGTGACCTCAAAATCAATAGGGATCATCTACTAATCATAGCCATCTAAATACCAAATATGAAGACTGTGGGTAAAAGGAATCTTATTGGGTGAACAAGAAAAAACCAACGGACGGCCGGACGAGGAGAAGATGGTACTTCTGTGACTTTTCCTTTGATCTTTTTGGCCATTTTAGTCACGCAAGGCTTAAAAAAAGACACACAAGTAAAAACGGAATGAATAGGATCAAAGAGAATATACTGTTACCCATTGTTCTCCATGTCACACAAGTACCTCTGGGTCGTACGGACGGATAAGCTGATTCCAGTATACCCCCCTTACAACTTCGTTGTGCGGGGGTATAAAAAGCCACACAGGTTGACTAATCTATTTTGACAGGTAATGCAACAGTTAAAGTTTTTATGTACCTACAGATTAGCTGGGTAAAACCCACATTAGCAGAGTTCTGGATAATATCTATTAGTAGTGTATCAATAATCTTTGAGGGAACTTTTGTTGACATTTTCTAGTGTTCTCAAATATAACAAGAGCAGCTGTGTGATCGTGTGATTAACGCCTCGGACTAGTAATCTAAGGATTGCTGACCGCGTGGGTTCAAACCCTGTCAGAGGCAAGAATCTAAATCTAAAACTTAAACTGATATCACATAGTTCATATTTGTATCTGAAATAGTGCATGTGTAAAATCATTACTGGTTGCTATTGCTTAGGGAAAACAACAGTTGCAAAAGAAATTTACATAGAAGAACAAGATTGCATTTGTGAAAAATGCTATGCCACCGCAGTAATACAACACTTAATAGTAATGTAGGAACAGAATTTTTTGTTATTGTTATTCAAATAAAAGATCAGAGTAGGAATCTATCAATGCAGTAGAGTCTAGTGAATTTGGTGGTGAAGGTTATATTTCACATGGCCAAAATTCCATGACTGTACATCAAAGGACAACACAATAAGACACTTTGTCAAAATCTAGGCCAGCTGATATCAAAGTTCACTTTACATCTTAATCTGTGCACATAGTAAAAATTTCATGGCTCTACATCAAAGGACAAGAAAGTAGGTCACTGTCCCCTTGGACAAGGCAAAATTTTGACCCAAGGCTTTAATTCAAACAATCTTGATACAGATCCACTAAACAACATTTCATGTCAAATATCTAAGCTGTAGCTTTCTCCAATTCAGAAAACATTCGTTTTAGTTTCTGTTTTTACTATGTGTACATAATGAAAATCAATGCCCCCAGGCAGGGCCAATTTTGTCACCAGGGGAAAAATTTCAACAACTTTGGTAGAGGACCTATGGGTGATATTATAACCCAACATCAAAGCTCTTAGCCTTGTACCTTCAGACAAGAAGATTTTTGAATTTTTTACTATATGTACATTCTGAAAATCAATGACCCCGGGGAGGGGCCAATTTTGACACCAGGGATATAATTTGAACAATCTTGGTAGAGGTTCACTTCGCAAAGTCTCATGCCAAATATCTAACCTCTAGCATTGTCAATTCAGAGAAGAACATTTTTCTAGCTTTTACTATATACATATAAGGAAAGCTATCGTCTCTTGGGCAGGGCAATTTTAACACTAATGGCATAATTTAAACAAGAGGGCCATGATGGCCCTGAGGTCGCTCACCTGTATAAAGGCACCCGGAGCGGGGCCAGTTTAAACCCCAGGGCTTTTATTTGAACAAACTTAGAAGACACCAATTAGAAGATGTTTCACAATGTTAAGTTTTTACTACACACATATAATGAAAAACAATGATCTACTCGTCCCCGACCCCCCCCCCTCAGGGCCAATTTTAATCCAGGGGCTTTTATTAGAACAAACTTGGTAGACACCAATAAGAAGATGTTTCATGCTAAACATCTAAACTCTAGCTCATTGGGTTTTTTAAAAGAAGATTTTTTAAGTTTTTTACTATACACATATAGTTAAAAACAATGACACCCCTGGGGCGGGGCCAGTTTTGACCCCAGGGCTTTTATTTGAACAAACTTTGTAGACACTCACTAGAAGATGTTTCATGCTTAATATCTAAACTCCAGCTATTTGGGTTTTTTCAAAAAAGATTTTTTAAGTTTTTGCTATACACATATAAGGAAAATCAATGACCCCCTGGGGCGGGGCCAATTTTGACCCCAGGGCTTTTATTTGAACAAACTTGGTAGACACCCATTAGAACATGTTTCATGCTAAATATCTTAGCTCTAGCTCTTTGAGTTCTTTAAAAGAAGATTTTTTTTAAGTTTTTACTATATGCATATAGGGAAAATCAAAGACACCCTGGGGCGGGG